ACCACCACAACAACTACAACATCTACAACAACAACGATGACAACAACTATAATAATAATAAAAACAACATCAATAAAAACAGCAACAACATCTACAACAACAACGATGACAACAACTATAATAATAATAAAAACAACATCAATAAAAACAGCAACAACATCAACAACAACAACATCACCACCAACCACCTCAAGCCGGCCACATACCTTCTAGTAACCATGGCAATGGTGCACAATAGGACGCTGCCAATGATGATGCCGATCGCTACGCCCATGGCCACCACCAGGAACATTCCTTTATTGGATGGATGGATGGATGAATGGAGGGGAGAATGGATGGATGAATGGATGGATGAATGGTGGGTGGATGGATGAATGGATGGATGGATGGCATAAGCGACATCCTTTATCATTATTATTATCGTCATCATCATCATCATCCTCATCATCATCATCATCCTCATCGTCACCATCATCATCCTCTTCATCATCAACATCCGCAATGTCACCATCGGCAAAATGATGACTGACCAAATGGCAGGCTGTTCTCTTCCAGATCCATCCATCCATTCGACGACCACACCTTGCCTGCGAATTTTTGTTGTTGATTGTACTCTCAGAATTCTCACTGAAAACAACAACCTCATCTTCAAGGTTCATCAAGGTCATCCTCAAAGTCATCATCAACCTCATCCTCAAGGTCATCATCAAGGTCATCATCAACCTCATCATCAAGGTCATCATCAACGACTTCCTAATCAAGTTTCTAATCATTATTTTCGTTATCACTGGACGTTGTAATCATCAGGAACACAAAAAGTTATTACGAAATTATTTTCTTCTTTCATTGGATCAGCCGGTCGAACGCTGAAAATTTTAACTGAGATTGTCGTTGAATGGATTTTTTGTAACAAACTACAAACACCATGCAGCCTTCATTTGATGCAATTTCGAATTAACATGCTGGCAAAAAAAATTCACCTGTTCAATCAACAGCAGATCATGCATTACAACATTCACCAAATTTTTCACTATTATTATTTTAAAAGGTCCAAATAGCTAAAAGTTGCAGTTTTTGCTTGAGCCGTCACGTTTTTCAAACCTCCAGAAAGATGAATGTTGATAATGAATAGCGGAAAATATGTTTTAACCATCACACACGTTAAAAGTATCGGAATTTGAGCAAGAGATTGAAGATTTTATTATTTAAACGCCCGTATCATTTCAATAAGAAATTGTTGGATAGACTTGAATCGCTTACCGGATAGTTAAATTGACAAAAATGTTGTAAAAATTTAAGCCGATTTCACCTTAAAAACATCAAGCTCAGTTTTAATGACCGTGGAACGTTTTAACCAGCTACCTCATCATCAGCACCACCACACACCACCACACCACCACCACACAACACCACACCGCCACAACCTCACCACACAACACTATACCACCACAAACTTTGAGGTCCACTTGAAATGAAGGAAGATGATGAGCAGTTGTGATGTTGACCAACCCATCTGTTGCCTCTGCAGTTTAGAGTGGAGACCTCTTGAGAGCTGTTGCAGCCTATCTTCATCACCATCCCTCTCCTCTCTGTCCACTGGTTTCCATGTTGGCGGGGGAAGTTTGGACAGCCTATGACTGATTGAGTTTTTGAGTGGTCAGTTGTTTGATTGGTAGTTGGTCAGTTTTGATTGGATGTTGGTAAGTTGTTTGATTGGTTGTTGGTCAGTTTTGATTGGTTGTTGGTAAGTTGTTTGATTGGTTCTATGGTCAGTTGTTTGATTGGTTGTTGGTCAGTTGTTTGATTGGTTGTTGGTCAGTTTTTATTGGTTGTTGGTCAGTTTTTATTGGTTGGTTGTTTAAAAGGTTGCTAAAATTTTGATTGCTTGTTTGTTTCATTGGCTGGTTGGTATCTTCTTCGTCACCACCACCATCATCATCATCATCGTCATCATCATCATCGTCATCATCATCATCATCATCGTCATCATCATATTCGCCGTCATCATCATCGTCATCATCATAATCGTCTCATACTTTCTCATGGCATCATGGTATAAGTGAATCAAATGCACAAAAGTGCTCACCAGAATGCATAATGCATTGCCCCTCCAATTATTTATATGAACCTTGTCTCTTTGGCCAAGCGTTCATTCAATTCTTTATCCTTTCGTTCTTTCATTCATTTTTTGATTCATTCATTAAATCACTCAGCCATTCATTCGTTCAGTGGTTTTTTTTCTATGATTATGTAATTTTTCAGTATCATTTTTTATTCACTTGTTCGGTTCATCCACTTTTCGCTCAATCAATTATTCATTCTTTCTTTAAATTATTTCCTCCTAAATCATTTATTTATTCGTTCAATCGCTTTTTAGTCGTTTTTTATATATTTTCCACTCATTCATTTTTCCGCACTTTCATACGTTCAGTCAGTCACTCCAGTATTTGTTTCATCTCACGGATGTCCAACCACTGAACGCCATTGCACGATAAATATGACCACGTGTCCTGCTTGTCTCAACTTCTTAAGCTCTTCAATAGCTCAGCAGTAAAAGCTGAAATATGCCAACACAAAATAAAATATCACGAAAATATTTCTCTCTACACTGAAAAATGTATACAGATGAGTACTTTATGAGGCTGAATGAACGAAGCATGTTGTTAAATTATGTACCAACCCTGCAACTAATGATGGAAGTTGAGGTTCATTCATGTGAAGTTGTGCGTAGGTACTAAATGTGTACTGAATTTCTGCAGTTGACCTCCTTATCTAATCGGTGGTGGATCTACGAGGGCTGATAGGGCACTGCCTTCTAGTTGTGAGCATTACTTGTCTCAAAAGTTAGTAAAAGTCGTTTTTTTTAAACAAAAAAGTAGTTCTTTAGAAGGGAAAATTGACATTATAAACCCATTAGCAGAAAATTGGCCATCCTCCCGTAAAAATGTTGGCACCGGAGAGCACAGAAAAGTTTCTTAAACAAATTTTTATTGGAAGTCTATTTTTCAGTCACCGATTTTTTAGGAAATCTTCTTCGGCCTCCACTCGGTCGACAAATATTTTTATATTTTTCAAAATCTTGCTTACTCCGTCAAAGTTGTCTAGATCCGCCATTACATTTAATGATCAGTTCATTTCTAATTATGGATTTGTTCAGAAAATGAAGTTTGTTTTTATTTCAGTACTTCAAATTTGTTTCAGGAATTTTTATATCTTTTATTCAAATTTCACTGAAATAATTTTAGAGGCGTTATTTAGTTGCCCGTGAAGGTGTACCTACATAAGTGGTTAATTTACTGGCAAGCGTAAATTCGTTCCTCCTCAACTAATGGATCCGTGCGAAATTTTACTACGGAATGTTTCATGTCCTTCAGGTTTATGAATCATACACATTGCCAGCGTTCTTGCACTGCACATGCTTCAATACAACATCGGCACGTCGCTAACTGCAAAAGTTTTTCCAGTCCCAGTGGCAAGTTTAGTAGGTGTGTAAGAAGATTTATTTTAAATTTTCCTGAATGTTTAGTTTTTTTTTTTGAGGAATGTTTGATGTAGCAAATGTTCCTCTTCAGGAGAGGTTGGTTGGCGATTGGAAAAGATGTAAGCTGCGTTCATTTGGTTTCTAAGATTTAGAGACCCGCGTCTGTGACTACATTCGTGAAGATGATTCCAAAATAACAACAGTGCATGCTAAAGATCATTAATTGTTATTAGTTGTCATTCATCATTTCGTCAATCATGACTAACATTCAAGTCATTTTGTGGAAGGCCCTTACCAAATTCGGTAACACGATTCAAATAACACAAACGCACCCACAAAAAATAATGTATGTAAATATGTATGTATGTATGTATGTATGTATGTATGTATGTATGTATGTATGTATGTATGTATGTATGTATGTATGTATGTATGTATGTATGTATGTATGTATGTATGTATGTATGTATGTATGTATGTATGTATGTATGTATGTATGTATGTATGTATGTATGTATGTATGTATGTATGTATGTATGTATGTATGTATGTATGTATGTATGTATGTATGTATGTATGTATGTATGTATGTATGTATGTATGTATGTATGTATGTATGTATGTATGTATGTATGTATGTATGTATGTATGTATGTATGTATGTATGTATGTATGTATGTATGTATGTATGTATGTATGTATGTATGTATGTATGTATGTATGTATGTATGTA